GGTTTAGGAGCTCTCAAATTTAAGGGAGAAGCCGATGAAGGTCCGGTGACAGCGGATCTTTGGTTGAATGATTTGAAAATCATGCTAGATGGTCTCCACTGCTCTGAAGTGGAGAATTTAGATGAAAATGTATCTTTACTAAGGGGTCAAGCGAGGATATGATGGACGAACGTCACCATAAGGATATCAAGTGACCAATTGACTTGGTCTTTGTTTTAGAAGTTGAATTGACTTGTCAATGGTCTAATTAAGAAGTTAGAAGTAATAGAAGTGAATTAAGAACATGTTGGAAATTTGGTAGATTTTTAGTTTCAGAATTATAATGAGATGTTGAAGATAATGGTGTGTTATATGGATATAAGATGATATGAATAAGTACAGTTGAAGTTAATGGAATAAAAAGAGTTCAAAATCAGAGGTTTTAAATAAACTTTAGTAATTTTAGGTTAAAAGAAGTGTATTGGGATAGTATTAGTATTGGTGAGTGAGTACGATACTACAAGGCAAATTTAGGATATTATGCGTAGGGTATCAATACTGCATTAACATTATCGATACCATAAAGAAGAAGAGTGATAAAATTTTTGGGTATCGATACTGAGGTAATAGTATCGATACCATAAGTATCGATACCAATGGGAGGTATCGGTACCATTTGTAAGAAATTACAGAATCCAAAATGGGTATCGATACCGTGTAGGGTATAGATATTGTGTTGTAGTACTGATACTACTTAAGTTGGAAGTTAAAATTAGTGTTTTTTAGTTTGTATTGGTAAGAATCTTTCGAGTAATTTGAATCTCGATTTTGGATTGTGTATTTAGTGTAGATATCGATCGAAAACGAGTATCTGATGATTCAATGAGATAAATCAAGCAAGAAAGAGATAAGCGTATGTCTTGGACTAGTGAGGCTAAGGTGAGTGCATACTAATTGATTTATGATGTTTAATGGAAATAAGACTTGCAATGAGTCTATTTCCTATATTAGAATGCATGAATTCATGAATATAAGCATGTGATTGATATGAGTAATTGATATGATATTCTATGTATATGTTCGATGTAATACATGTTATGGACTATGATATAACCATGTGATAATAAATTATGTGAACATATGCCTGTGAGATAAGCCATGTGACTATAAGCTATGTGAAAATAAGTTATGTGATTATATGATCACAAGATATAAGCCATGTGATATGTGAATGTGAATCATATGAAATGTTTACGTGTAAGTGAACTACGTGCCTATGTGAATATGTGAAAGACATAAAGATAATGCCCATATTCTATAGTTGACATGCTAAGAGCGAGGGTTCCACATGGTCCTTCGGGATGTATATGCAGTTCTTTGGAACATATATGCGATTCTTCAGGACATATATTTGGTCCTTTGGAATATATATGTGATCCTTAAGGAGTGGTCATTCGGGACATCTATGTGGTTATTCAAGACAAACATGTGGTCCTTCGGGACATTCTACGTGGTCATTCGGGACAAATTCTATGTGCCCCTAGTGGGAATTTATACAAGTTGTGGTGACAGCATATGTGCATAACCTCAATGTACTCAATATTTTAGTTCTCAAAAGTGTACATGGGTTAATAAAAGAGATAACATAAGTTCTCAAAAGTGTACATGGGTTAATAAAAGAGAAACATAAGAAACCTTGTGTCATATTATAGTTTTGTTGTGAATGTATGATATGAAATGCTACAAAGGTTAACTATTAGATTGTATGTTCTAAATGGATTAATGATAATGATAATGATAATGATAATGACGATGATGTGATCAGGATAATGATAATATGTGTGCATGTGTATAGTTGGTTATATGAATTGTTATATGATGTTTGTATTATTTATTATAAGAATGTGAAATGTTCATTCATGTTAAGTATCTAGAGTTTCTATTATATATGTTTTATGCTCACTAAGTCATAGACTTAGCGTGAGTGTTTCACACGTAGGTTCTGTTAGCAAGAAGAGGAGCATGGATAGGCAATTCAGGTCAGTTTCTTTTCCAAAGATCAGATCAAAAGTAAATTTTGAATAATATGTGTTATGTTATATAGAATGTAGTTGGCATGTAATTAAAGATTGAATGTATTCGCTCTGATAAGTTTTGTAAACTCTTTGATCTAAATTGTATAAATATGCATTTTATTTAATAAAAGTTAGCAATTTCATTCTTTTGGGGAAAAATAAATGTTTGAAAAGTCAATGTACACCTCGGACTCGTATCCGGTCGGGTACGGGTGTTACAGGATCTTAGGGAGATAAACCGGAATTCCATGGTATTTATTTTATTTCTGTATTGCAACGGTAGTAAGAAATGTCGACGCTCTGATTATGGTTCAAAACCTTATGGACGGTACAACATATAAGTTCATCAAGTTTCCAGACTTATCTAAGTCATTCGCTTAATTCTAAGTCATGAGGATACTTAGGTCACTTAGTAGCCAAGTTTATCCCGATCACTTCGGAGTTTCCAAAGTAATTAGGTATTTTCACACTTCAGATATATACTTTCATTCAGTTCATCATGGTCATATAATATAATCATTTTGAGAATTCAGACGTGTAAAGTACTTCGATAATTTAGTCTCTGGGTGTTCACTCAAGAAATAGAATTCTAGGTATTGGGTATTCGAGGTTGATTTATTTATTAGAACTTGAGGGCATAGTCTTCCAGGGCTTGGAGGTACTTTAGTCATTTACACTTTGGGGTATTTTGGTTATTTACACTTCGAGGGCATTTTGGTCATTTCCTTCAATCTAGCCTTTCCATTTAATTCAATTTCCTGTATAATCCAAACACAAATAGTACTTATGATGCTTTAGTTTAGGTGTTTGCTAATAAGTCAGTAATATATGCCTATACCTTATCCTATTTTAAGATCTGATTATCAATGATTTTCCGAGCAGATCAGAAATTTAACAAGTGAATCAGTAGTATATTAAATTAAATACAAATTCTTAAGGTACTTTCGATCTCAAGGTCAGTCCGGGTCATTTTTCTCTCATAAGGACAATTCTTAATTTTATAATCAGGTAATTTCAGTATTAAAGTTTTAATGAGGATAAATTGAATTTAGAGATTCTGTGGTTATTTGCTTTTTGATAATCAATGAACTTGAAATCATCTTATTAGTCATTTTGTGTCTATGTAGGTAGTTGAGCCTTATTCAGTTTAATTTATTTTAGTTCGTAATCAGATCGAGTTTAGAAATTTTACACACATATGTAACCATATTTCCAATCATGCATTTACCTTAATGAGGATAAATTGAATTTAGAGATTCTGTGGTTATTTGCTTTTTGGATAATCAATGAACTTGAAATCATTCTTATTAGTCATTTTGTGTCTATGTAGGTAGTTTGAGCCTTATTCAGTTTAATTTATTTTAGTTCGTAATCAGATCGAGTTTAGAAATTTTAACTACACATATGTAACCATATATATTCAATCATGCATTTACCAATACCAACATGTTCCATACAGCATGCATAAGGTAGTAATGTATTACTTTGATTTATATGCTCCACCAATCGAACATTTAGATTCGATTCGATCACTCTCGAACTTGAATCTAATGTCCAATCATATATCGGATACATATAAACACAAATTACATCAGAAACGGGACTTAATTACAGAAAATGGATCGAATTGGAAGGTAAAATATTGAAAAACAACTTACTAGGATTGAATTTGGGGAAATAAACTTCGGATTCGGACTCAAGACGTCAAAAAACATAAAAATATGTAAAAAAAATTTGACTTTTTAGGTCAAAAGTCAACGGGTCAAAGTTAACATGTCGACTCAGTTTGGGTTGACTCAATCGGGTCAAACAGACCTGATTCAGACCGATTTGGGCCAATTCGGTCCACCTGGATCGTCTTCTAGAAAAAACAAGAGATGGGGGACGAGTCCCACGCGTGTACGGCGACGACAGGCTCAGGACGATCGGTCGATTACTCCGCAAGTACCTAAACACCAATTGCAACCAAAAGTTTCACCAAAAATAGCCATCAACCATACCAAATAACCGAAAATAGAACCGAACTTATGTAACGACGATTGACGGAGGAAACAACGACGATACGACAACCTACGACTGAGGGTGAGGCGGTGAGGCGAGGGGATAATCGAAGCAACCGAATTTCATGAAAAAAACGATCGACGGAGCTAGGGATTCGATGGAGCTTCATCGACTTTTTTACGTCATTTGACGGTCGATCCGGGAACGAGGGTTGAGGAGTTTTGGTCGGCGGTTGTTGGTGAGTCAAATTAAATGGGGTTTATGGTTATTTTATTTTTTTCGCTGACCAGGAAAAATATGGGATAATTCACGGTTAAGTCCCCGAATTTCCCACAGGTTCCAAAACCGAGCTGTAAACTTTTAAAAACGTGCAATTTGGTCCTCAATTATCCCCTTGATATGACTTTAATTTGATACTTTAAATTAATAAAATCTAGCCCCTAAATTAGGGTGTGCCAATATTATTTTTATTATTTTGTTTAAAATATGGGAACACAAAAACTGTATTCTGGGCTTCCAATTTCAGCCACACCATTGGGTGGGCTTGTCCACATGAATAATGGGTCCTGCTGAACTAAATTGACTGATCAAACTGAGTCACCCGTGGATACTAATTATCGGTAATTACGTAAAATCCAATTATTTTGGTGGTTTTTAAATACATATATAAAGAATTAGTATTTTTTTATAATTATGAAAGTTGTAATTTGAATATAATAATTATATTTTCTTATAATTGTAATGTTTGTATTAATTTATTACTAATTGGATCAAGTGGAGCTTTAATCCAAGTAGTAACAGACTTATTAAGACAACCGGCCTGACCAAAATTTATGTTGGGCTTTAAAGCCCAACAGATCTTTAAAATAACTAAAAAAAAAAAATGAAACGCCCACCGACTTAAATTAAAATAATAAAACACCTAACCCGCCTAATGCCTTTTTCTATAAAAGGGAACGAGGGGGCGGCTTGAAATTAAAGCAACTCGTAGAAATTTCTTCGAAGAGATTGTGTCTCGATTCATTGGATTTTCTTCGCGTGTGGTTTCCATCTTCCTCTGTCTTCTTTCCGGTAAGATCTTCAATTACCCCTGATTCAATCGAGGTCAGACCAGATCAGATCCGCCAAAAGAAGCACCAAAATTTCATGTTCTAGGGTTTTGAATTTCATTGTCGTTGTTTCTTTTTATCGTCGTCGCTTTGCTTGATTACATAACTGAAATCTACGGTGTAATCTTTGATTTGCTCTTCGTGTTGGTTGATTTTTTTTTACGATTGTCTGCATATCTGGGGTTTGTACTTTTTTGCGGAACCCTAGAAAAGGAAAAATAATTGGCTATTTGTTTTGTGCTTTTTTCTTGGAGATTTTGTTTGGCATCTTTCTCGATTGTTTTATTGAGAAGAGTTGCGTGGTTCTTGATTGATATGGCGGCAGGGCGAGTTGATGTTCGGAGGAGAATTGATGTTGAGAAAGTGAATCGGGGCTATGTTCATGCTAATCCCGTTAAGAATGGATACGATTGCCCCTCGGATCGGACCATTTCGGCTTCCCTTCATAGGAGTAGGTTTGAATTGGGTCCTGGGCGATGTTGGTTAGATGATGCTGTGAAAGTTAAAAATGATGTTACTCCGATGTTGGATGATGGGGTGCAGCAGCCGCCGCATAAAAAGAGGAAGTTTTCCCCAATTGTATGGGATCTAGAAGATAAGGAAGTAAGAGCTTCATCCAAGACAGGAGATGTAGGAAGAACTACCACCCTGTCATCTCCACCTTTACCTCTGAAGTTGTCAACTACGGCTTCCAATCAGGACGATAAGCAGCTGCCCGTCTTTGTAGATCTTATCAAAGAAGAGCATTTGCTGCTACCCAAGTCTCCAGTGTCAAATATGGGTGCTGTTTTGTCTCCTTCGCTTTCTGGCCAGCAATGTAAGGATGATGAACACGAACAAGGTTTGATGGGAAAAGATGACTTTCAAGCACCTAACATATTTACATCACGATGGGCTTCCGATAGTGATGATGAAGATGGATCTCTCACTGAGGAAAAGATAAAGAGGAGTTCAAGTCTTGAGAGCGGTGAGCTTGAAAGAGAGGAATTGGATGTAGATGGGGTTCGGTCTGATGAAAGAAGCAGCATTGAATTGTCTGCTTGCAAGGGTGAAGATAAGGAGTGTAAGTTGGAATCTGATGTTATGGACATTGATGACATGCGTGAAGAAGATGCTAGTGTTGATCAATCAGATTTAGATGTTGAGGAGTCTGCAGGAAGTGGGATGAACATGCTTCTTGGTTGCAGAAGTGCTTTTGAATATGAAAAATTGAACAAAATAAGTGAAGGCACCTATGGTATTGTCTATAGAGCTAAGGATAAGAAGACAGGAGAAATTGTGGCCCTGAAGAAGGTAAAGATTCTTGGTGGAAGGGAATTAGAAGAATATGGTTTCCCTGTGACATCACTGAGAGAAATTAATATTCTTGCATCTTTCCATCACCCTTCGATTGTCAAAGTTAAAGAAGTTGTTGTAGATGACCATGACAATGTTTACATGGTTATGGAGTACATGGAGCATGACTTAAAGTGGCTAATGGACTCGATGAAGCGGCGTTTCAGTACAAGTGATGTTAAAAGCTTGATGCTACAGCTATTGGAGGGTGTGAAATATCTTCATGATAATTGGGTGCTACATAGGGATTTAAAAACATCCAATCTTCTCTTGAACAACCAAGGTGAACTCAAAATATGCGATTTTGGTATGGCACGACTGTATGGGAGCCCTCTTAAGCCATATACCACCAAGGTGGTTACCCAGTGGTATAGGTGAGTAGCCTCCTATGTACTTATATTCTTTCAACATTATGAATTCTATGTGCTTTTGAATTTGATAGTACCTTTTTTTTGGTTTTCTACATTTCAGATCTCCTGAACTTCTACTTGGAGCAAAGAAGTATTCCGCAGCTGTGGACATGTGGTCTGTTGGTTGTATAATGGCTGAATTGCTAGCTAAGGAACCTTTATTCAAAGGGACAAGTGAAATTGATCAGCTTCGCAAGGTAATTACTGTTTCTATTGGAAGTTTTTACTTCATATTATCATTATTGTTTTGTTCCTGATGTTTGGTGATGGATGATGATTACAGATCTTTGATACTCTTGGTGTTCCGAATGAGAAGATTTGGCCTGGCTTTTCTGAACTACCAGGGACCAAGGCAAATTATTCTAAGCAACCGTAAGTATCTTCTTGGTTGATTGCTTTTGTCATCCAAATGACACTACTATTTATCTTGTTTTTATCTGTTCTGTATTTACTATTTTCCTGGTAATTTAACAAGTAGTTGTTGTTTCATGTCTTCTTCCAGGTATAACTTGTTGCGAAAAAAGTTCCCTGCAGCATCTTTCACAGGATCTGGTGTTCTTTCTGATGCAGGATTTGACCTGCTTAGCAGGCTTCTTACATATGATCCTGAGAAGGTAATTATACTTGAGTTTTAAATCCTATGTTGTTTTAACTTATTTATATGTGGTTGGCTTCAGCTATAATCAAAATTTCTGTTATTTTGCAGAGATAACTGCAAGTGATGCTCTTAATCATGATTGGTTCCGGGAGCTTCCTCTCCCTAAATCTAAAGAGTTCTTCCCTACTTTCCCACCAAAAGTGTGAATGTAACAGTTTCCTGGCCTGATTAGATAAAGCTTGACACAAAAATATTAACCGTGCTATGCATGAAGTATCCAAATCTGGTTTAGCAGCGGTAATTTTTTCTTCTGTCTATTGGTTTGTATCATGATACAGATACATATGTGCATTCAGCACTATGTTATCATCCGTGGTAGTTGCTTAAGCAGGTGATTGACAAAACATGAGATGCAGCAGTTTTGGTAGCAAATTATTGGGAGATAGCCTTAATGGTATGAATAGATAATTTTCGGATGAGTTGTGATCATTAGCTGAGACCTTAGAAACTTTTAATTTTTCATCTTCTTGATATTGTATCAGATTGTAACTCATGTAAATATTCTTATCCAGATTTGAATGTTTCTTTTGTCTGTAACTGTTGTCTTAAACTATTGCTTACATTGCTTCTTTCGATTTTCTCACATTGCTTTTGCTAGAGTCACACTGATATTTGGAAGGATACAACGTTGGTGTTTCCTGTTTATGGGCAGTAAGTTCTGCACACTCGTGGTGCTTGTAAATAAATAGGTTGATCGTTTTTAACTAGTGAGATTTCCATACTCTTTTTTGTTTGCTCTTTGTTCTTTTCTTCTCTGTTGCAAGTGTTGCGGCAGCAAAGGGGGCTCAAAAGCCTGCAAGCAATCACTTCGTATGCAAGTAAGGCTATTGTTTGCTTGACTATTAACTTTTTCCCTAACAATCGACCATCGGTTTATATACAACTATTACGTTGACAGACAGAAGTTTCTTGATTAGCATAGCAGCAGATGCCTACAGGAGGAAAAAAAGATGATAAAACCAAGGAATTATTAAACGAGGCTGGTTCTTCGTCAGACTACGCTTTTCTCCTGTTTTTAATGCTTTATTTCTTAACGGATTTTTAGGATGAATGAATGTTCTTACAGTTTAACCTTGTGCGTCTGCATGAGACATTTTAAGCGGATGTCATATTGCCGGGACTTGGGAGATCGCTCAAAACGGTTGGTATTTGAAATTATAAGATTTTAGTTTTGAACGCTACGTCCCGGTTATCTTTTGAATTGATCACTCGTGCTTCGTGAATATGGGCATCTGATCGTACCATGATAAAATTTTGAAAGACATTACTATGTGAATGTACTTGTTACTGTACTGAATCCAAATTTCTTTTGAAGCTTTGTGGTAATTGATTCATGGACGGTTTCTTTCTTCTGTACTACTGTTGGTGTTTCGCACTGTGGCAATGTTCCAGACCAGTTGACATCGAACATTTCAAATCTAATGTTGTAGTAACTCGGGCATATTATTGACCGCTATCCGCCTCTAAGAGCACGCCTTCGAACTTTTTACGAATACAATTTTTTTTTTATAGTCTCATCCCGGTTTATTTTTAATCGGTTTAATCCGCTTGAATTTTTTTATAGTTTCGCTCCAAGTAATTTGTTTATGTTTTTAATCCAGATTTTAAAGTTACGATTCAATCCAGTTCTTTTACGGCTTTTAACCGGTTAAGATGGATCAATCGTTGAAATCCATTTTTTAACTGATCTGGCCAATCACCGCACTTCTAAACAAATGATCAAACCCATCTTTTCATCAACTTTTCTATTTAAAAGATTATTATTTGAGAATTTATGACAATTTAACCATGAAAATCAGTTTCAAAGTGGTGCAATGTATCAAACAACTGATTCTAGGTATCAAACTTGACAACCACGATGTCATTCTGGTTTTTTCCTTGAGAGACTATTATACGACTCATATATCTAACAAGCATTCATATATGAACATAAAAAGAAAAAAGGAAAATAAAGAACCCTAGATCAAACAACCTACCAGCCCAACTCGACAAAATTAAAGCACTTCCCAAAGAAAAATACCCAAAGTAAATGTTTGTTGTCAGTCTATGGCATCATTTTTCATATGTTAAAGTATTAATCATCAATACTTAAATACAGTCAACAGCAGTGCCATTTGGGCAAAAGAACAATGAGACAATGATGAAGTAGAGTATTCACATACCCATCAGCAAAGAATCGAGCACAAACAAAAACATGGTCTGCTTCTAGGTTAATCCATCATTCATGAGTAAAGCACCTTCGGAATATCCTGCCTAATTGCAGTTCCATCAGGAAAGTACCGTCCGAACCTCCTCTGTAACATCATTAGGAGGCTTCTCGGCACTGAGCTTAGTAACTACTTCCTTAGAATAATGATTGATCACCTAAATTTCGAGTAACACAGTTGAAAATGTTAACGGCAGAACGTAAAGACCGAGCATGCCACATGCTCAATTATCTTTAAAAAACGTATCACATGTATTCTACTAACTCTGGCACAAAAGAATGGACAAAAAGGATGACAAGCTATCCATTCCTCCAGAAAAGATTAGGAAACAGAAAGCATACTGGTTCAGTTTGTAGGAATTATAGAGATGATTTGTTACCATTCCTATAGAGATATGATTTGTTACCATTCCTATAGAGATATGATTTTGTAAATAGATTTCTACAATCCCTTATTTTAAGGGATCATATCCTAGGATTATTATTTTTTCTTTCTTAGAGTTTCCTACTTTAGAGAGAGATTTTGTATATAAATATGTAATCTAACATATTGAAAAGAACAAGAATTACGAGAATTACTCTGATTTCTACATGGTATCAGCTTAGGTTACGGTTTCTTTCCAACCTAGATGATGTCCACAACTTCTACTCCGGAGATCACTTCAAATCCAGGAAATTTTGCTGGTTCTGCTGCTCAATCAGAAGGTAATCTGGTCATGAAAGAACTAGAAGGTAAACCTCATGCTACAGTTTTTTTCTCCTCCCAGTCGTCCCCTAATTGGATCATCGATTCTGGTGCTACGGATCATATGACTGGTAATAAGGATTTGTTTTGCAATTTTTTTCCAAACTTTGGTAAAGCTGTCAAAACGACTGATGGTTCTTTGTGCAAAATAGAAGGACATGACACTATTATTCTCAATGACCAGATTGTACTTAAAAATGTCTTCTTCGTACCAAATCTGGCTTGCAATCTCGTTTCCGTTAGTAAACTTTCCACCGACTTGCACTGCTCTGCAATTTTTAATGATATTGATTGTACTTTGCAGGCACTGAACTCGAAGAAGATGATTGGTAAGGCCAGCTTGCAGAATGGTCTCTGCATTCTTCCTGCCTCTACTAAAACCGAAATCTCGAAATCTTTCACCGCTTTAGAAAAAAGTTGATAATGTTATGTTATGACACTATCGTTTAGGTCATCCTAGTTTTCACTATCTTGCAAAAGTTTTTCCTGCTATTCATTCATAAAAGGCCAAATTCTTTTCTTGCAAAGTTGCTCTCTTGCCAAACACTAAATCAACTTATTCTCCTTCTACATATAAGCCTTCTCACCCTTTTGCTTTGATCCACAGTGATATTTGGGGTCCTTCTCGGGTGAAGAATGATGATAATTGTAAGTGGTTTATCACTTTCATTGATGATCACAGTAGGATAACTTGGACTTATTTGCTAAAAGATAAATCTGAAACTGCATGTGTTTTTACCCAATTTTATAACATGGTTCTCACTCAATTTGGGTCTAAAATTCAGCTCTTTAAATCTGATAATGGCAGTGAATTTTTTGCTAAGTCTTTGGGTGCGTTTTTCAGGGAAAATGGCATACTTCAGATTAGTTCTTGTGTTGACACCCCACAATAAAACGGTATTGCCGAAAGGAAAAATAGACATCTCATTGAAGTTACTCGTTCTCTTCTATTTACCACTAATGTTCCAAAATATTTGTGGGGGGAAGCCTTATTAACTGCCACATATTTAATCAATCGAATGCCTAGTAAGGTTTTACAATTTCAAACATCTCAATCTATATTTTTGCAATACTTTCCCCATTTTAAACCTATCTCCTCCATTCTTCCACCTAAAATATTTGGTTGTACTGTTTTTATCCAAAAACATTGCTCCTAATAAGTCCAAGTTAGATCCTAATCATTAAAGTGTGTACTGGTTGGGTCTTCACTTAAGAATGGTTATAAATGCTATCATCCTCCTTCAAAATGATTTTTTACCACTATGGATATAACATTTTATGAACAGGATCCTATTTCACTCAGGCTAAAATTCAGGGGGACATGAAAGGATTTTCAGCCACATCAGGTATCTCCTCCTACTCTTCATTCTCAACCTTCAGAATTGCTACCAATTTGTCCTTACCTACAGATTGTCACCTGTAACTACTCTCATTGATCCACCGTAGTACCTATCACTACTTCACCCATACCCACTTAATACCCTTCCTGAAAATACTACTCTCATTCAAAATATTCCAAACAACACCAATCAAAAAGCTCCGTTCTATACAAGGAAAAGAAAACATATTCCTGAGGTTGTTTTGCAATCTGATGCTTGTCGAGAATTGGATTTGGTTCCAGCTGCCGAAATAGAAGAAGAAATCAGTAATTCCACTTCCCCTACTCTAGATGACTTCCTATTGCTATTAGAAAAGGGGTTAGACAGTGCACCAAGCATCCTATTGAAAAATTGCTGGTTATAATTCATGATATCGTCTTTTCAAGCATTTACAGCAAACTTTGGATAAGAACAGGTTCCCACAAGCATAGCTGAAGCTCTAAAGGATTCAAAATAGAGAAGGGTTGTTGAAGAGGAAATTTGTGCACTGGAGAAAAATGCTACTTGGATTGTTACAGACCTTCCTCAAGGAAAAAAGGTTGTTGGCTTTAAATTGATCTTTACTATAAAGTATAACTCAAATGGTAGCATCTAACGATACAAGCGAGACTAGTGGCCAGAGGCTTTACACAAACATATGGGATAGATTTCACATAAACTTTTGCACAGTGGCGAAGCTGAATACTGTTCGAGTACTCCTAAGTTTGGCTGTAAATTGCGATTGGAAATTACACTAACTTGATGTAAAAAACGTTTTCTTATGGCAAGCTAGAAGAATAAGTCTATATGAAGTTGCCACCTGGCTTAAAGTCTGTTGAATGACAGTAACAAGGTGTGCAAGCTCACAAGTCTCTATACGGGGTTAAAACAATCACCAGAGCTTGGTTCGAGAGATTCACTAAAGTCATCCTAAAAAACGGCTTCAAGCAATCCCTCACTGATCACACTCTTTTCAAGGTAACTTCTACAAATAAGAAAGCTATCCTTATTGTGTACGTGGACGATTAATTTACCGGAGATGATGAAGAGAGATTTTCAATTTGAAGAAGTTGTTAAATAAGGAATTCGAAACCAAGGACTTGGTAAAGCTAAGGTATTTCCTAGGAATAGAGGTGGCAAGGTCAAAAGAAGGACTTGATCAACCAAAGAAAATATGTACTTGATTTACTCAAAGAAACTGGTTTTCTTGGTTGTAAGCCATTGATACACCAATGGAGGCAAGCTTGAAATTTAAAAGATGGGTCCTAAGTAGACAAAGAGAAATTTCAAAGATTAGTTGGGAAACTAATTTATTTATCCTTGACAAGGCCAGATATAGCATTTCCTGTAATGTGATAAGTCAACACATGACTAATCCTACTAAGAGCATATGGCAGCGCAAATAGAATTCTCAAGTACTTGAAGAAAACTCCAGGACACAGTTTAATGTTTAAGAAGACACAAGACAGAACTGTTTAAGATCTTTAACAGATTCTGTTGGGCCGGAGACCTTACTGAAAGGAGATCTAGTGGCTACTGCACCTTTGTTTGGGGAAACCTTACAACTTGGAGAAGTAAGAAACAATCTGTCGTTTCAAGAAGTATTGCTGAAGCTGAATTTAGAGCACTAGCATTGGGAAAGAACTTGTCACTAATCAAGAGGATCACTTTGAAGTTTGTGTGGTAATCAATCTGCTATTCAAATTGCCAAGAACTCAGTTCAACATGATCGGACGAAGCATGTTGAGATTGATAGGCATTTATTGCTGATCAAGTTAACAAAAAGACAACCACACTTTCATACATTCCTTCAGAAGAACAAGTTGCAGACATTCTTACTAAGGCTTTGTCAAAGCCTGTTTTCAATAAATTCCTATTCAAGCTGGGATTATACAATGTATATTCTCCAGCTTGAGCGGGAGTATAGGAATTATAGAGATGATTTTTATCATTCTATAGAAATATGTTGTTACCATTCCTATTGAGATGTGATTTTGTAAATAGATTTCTACAATCCCTTATTTTAAGGGATCATATCCTAGGATTATATTTTTCCTTTCTTAGAGTTTCCTACTTTAGAGAGAGATTTTGTATATAAATATGTAATCTGTCATATTGAAAAAAACAAGAAATTACAGAGAATTACTCTGATTTCTACACAGTTTGCTGTGAAATGCATCGAGTCTCGACTTGAGAACACTGCAGTATCGTCTTTACATTGAATTAAAAGTTCTCCGGTCACCTTGAAGAAAATAAAGAATCCAATAAGCTAGCATTTGATCAAGACATGAAATGTCTCATGTCTAGTAACTTCATCAACCGGAGAAAAAGGCGGCTGTCACCAGATTCCTTGCAACTGGATCTTCATTTACTTGAGAAACATAATTAGAATGAGGGTGATTACGTTTGACTTGCATCATCTACGCCAGGAACTCTAGGAGGTGAAAATTTCGTATGGTAGGATCTACCACTAGAAGGGTGGATCTAACGACCAGTAATCCTTCTCCAAAATTGAATCAAGATTGCGAAATCAAGCACCTTATCTATTTTAACTCTCTGCCTTTCAAGCATTTCATCAAGCTGCAAAGCAAAGATCAAGAACATAATTAGATGCATGGTCCATGGGTAAAAACAACTATGATAAATAAATAAAGGTTCTGTGGGGAGGGAACTGAGAGTGCAAGCATAAATATTCTAGACAAGGCACGTGAAGGTTTCTTCATCGCTTCATCAATAATACCAACAACCAGGTCATCAGAAACAAGTTCTCCCTACGAAGCAATAGCAAACACGTCATCAGTCATTCGTGACCTAGTACATGCAAGAACCATTTAAATAATCCAGGCAGGCTGGGAAATGAATTTGACCTTATCCATAGCTTCCTTGGCCTTGATACCAAGTGGAGTTTTGGTGAAAACAGCAACTCTAAGCATATCACCGGTGGCCAAGTGACATAAGCAGTACTCATCCTTAATCACTGGTGATCGTGTACCTTTTCCTGATCCAGGTGGACCTGCCAATCATAGGATATCCAAAACTAGAAACTGGCCACCCTTCTATAAAATTCAAGACAATAGACTAAAATGTAAAGAATGCTAACGTAATGCTGCTATGAATTGTGATTTCACATGATACAGACAGTCGGCAATGCTTGAGCCTTTCATAAAATGTAAATATAAAACCAAAATTAAGCATCTTTCTATTCACTTTCAAGCAACCCTAATTTTAGAGCCTATGCAAGCAAGATGCGCATTCAGACTAAGCAATTGTCCAGACATTGCTACATGGAATTCTATGATTAAAGACAGACTCTCTTAGTGGGTCATGGAAAATCACCCTGACCCCACCTCTTCATCTCTACAAAACACCCATTTATCATATGTATCTGACACACTCTCAAGTCTGGACCCTATGCAAGATATGTAATTCGGATTGATAGATTTTTTGGACATTGCTGCATGAACTCTTTGACTGAAGACAGACTTATTTGTTTAGTAGGTCCTGGACAAGGAGCTATATTATCCTGACTCTTCATTTTCTGAAGCACCCATATTTCCAACACACTCCAGAGACTAGACCCTACGTAAGAAACCGAAATTCCAGAGTCCAGACTATGCAAGCAAGATGTGTAGTTCAGATTAAGCAATAGTCCCGTCATTGCTGCACGGAACTCTAAGACTAATACAAACTTATTCTTAGTAGGTTGAGGAGAGGGGACTATGTTACCCTTGACTATCCATTTTCTCTAAAGCGCCCATATCCGTCCGTGTCAAGATAACATAGATAAGGGATATTAATATTCAGTCTTCCAAAATCTATCACTACTGCTGCAAAGCAAAAGGTGAATGTACAAGGAGTTTACAAATTCAAAATTGGCACCAAAGCTCATTTCATGTTGTTGATTAAACGTGAATAATGAGTATTGGCTCACACATTCTAAAACCAAAATTTCACACCACGCCACTTTTCAGAAATTAATCATTAGAAATTCACATATGAAACATATCATTCATGTGAAAACCATGAAAATTTTATATAAAAAATTTATGCATTTCAGATTGAACTTGGAGCTTCTGAAATTCATGGTACATTTCTACAATTTGTCTAAAAGAATAATTTTTTCCCATGAACGGACATCAACAAACTCTTAGATCTGAAAGTTACCTTCCGTGTTATTTCTCAAAAAGGGAGAAAATCCAAATTTCCGTAGAGAGAAATTAATTAAAAACAACCGATCCAAATTCCATAACAATGCGACTTTGAAACCAAAAAGATAAAGCAACACTAAAAAACAGAGGAAAGCTATACCAAGAGGATGAGGAGCTTCTCGGGTCTGGAGGCGCACTTCGTACGGCGGAGAAGCTCACTCGTCAATGATTCGGAGGGTACTTCTTCCAAGTTCACCGAGCTGCTCGCCATTTTTTTTCCTTTTTGGTTCATCTAAGGGTGCGTTTATTTAACGGAACGTAACATGGGAATAAAAGATTACAAGATATTAGGATTATTGGAAAATTTTATATTATTGTGTTTGATTGGTTTGATAATAATATAATATTATAATGTTTAGTTAAAGGAATAAAAGATTATTAAAATATATTTTATTAAATTGTCTTTGTTCTATATTTGTTTTTTTAACGATTAAAATTTTAAATATTTAAATAAAAATTATTTATATAAAAATTCTATTTGTTGATAAAATTATTTGAATATTTAAATATATCATGTATTATTTTAATTTTAATTAATGTTAAATTTTATATAATTTATGTAAAAATATATTAAAATTTTACATCAGCATTTAACTAAATATTTATATTGTGGAAATTCTTCATAGATATTCATAATAATAAAAAGATGTAAATTATTTTTGTTATCTAAGATATAATATTATTATATCCTATATACAATAATTATATTATATTATATTTATATATAATTCTGCATACTTTATCATTATTATTTATCTCATGAATTTATATTGCAAAAACATAATTCAAATAAGTAAGAAAATATAATACTAAAAATTATATTGTCTATAATTTTATATTTCACCGTCATTCATCATTATCTTTGCTAATAATGCTAATATTTTAATAAAATTATTAATACTTAGTCCTAATCTGATTTGTACTTAACTCTTAATTACGAAAAGCAAGCAACCCAATAATTCATGTTTCTCAACCTGTAATTTCTCTCTGAATATACAAAAACCGACAGAGGCCAACCTTTTAACCTACTAGACCGTTAATTTCTTTCATAAATATATGCTTATCTACATCCACATTTAAGCTATAATCAATCACATAAGTAAAGGTTCATCAAGAAATATAATCTCAATATTGTAAACATAAAACTAACGTAAATTACTTGCCGAGGGATCAAGCCTCTCGCAAAAGCGTTCCACTGCTTCAGCATTGAACCAGTTTTTTTCATCAGCAATGTAAAATGGGCAATTAGTACTTATAATCCACATTTGAAAAAATATGCTTCATAAATGAAACAAGATTCGTACAAAGAGTTCATACATGCTGATCTACACTCACATCTAAGCTAATCGATCACATATAAAAAGGCTCATAAAAAAATGTCATTTCTAAAGTTAATGAAAATCACACGCCGGAGAATCGGGCCTCTCACAACAGCGTTCCACTTCTTCAGCCCTGAACCAGTCCTTTTTCATCTGTAAAGTAAAATAGGCAATTCGTACATCATCATCATACTTATAATCCACAATCGAAAAAACACTTTTTAAACTAAACGAGGAATGTACAAAGTAAGGATAGTCTTCAATGCTAAAGTTCTCTGCGGCGCTTTCGACAAATGACTTTATAAAATAGAGAACAAAGTTCCCACATTCTTTACCGTTTCCTTGTTGTGGCACCTGAAAAGATCAATGGTCAAATAGAGATATAACAAACGATCAAACAATATCAACATTTTGTTTCACCTTAGGGACCAAAAGAGGAATTTGATAAATTGTCTGTCTATTCTCAGGCCTGCCTTCAGCTTTATAAATGTTGAACACGAACCTGCTAGCAAGAAATTCATATTGAATATTAGAAACTGTGGCAATTTTACTCGGCTAGTAACACGAGTTATGCAAATGAGTAAATATACTTTCTTATATCCGGTTCGTATCAATCTGTTATTTGTCACAACCACAAGATACGATCATAGTTGTAGAGTTTACATTGTATGGCATGTTGGCATGAAAGCATATTTCTGGCCATTTAACAATGTAAGACAACCAATACATGGCTTAAGGGAAAACTTACTGGTTCACATCGGGCATATTTAGAATGGAAGCAAAGAACTTTTCCAGGGTAGATAACACCACAGCTTCGATCATCCCAGGTTCCTCTTTCTGTAATTTCGAATCAGTCACTGCACTTCCTAATCCATTTACTAAATAGCTCTGTTTCTTCAGTACAGCAGCAGTTAAACCGGCTGCCCAGACCTGCAATGAAAAGAATACGCGACTCATCAGTATTTCCAGTTTCCAGAACAAGTATATAATTCATCCAAATGAAATTACAAAGTTCAAAGCTGGAACAATGAACCTACGATCTTATACACCAGCAAACAAGCTCAAAGAATTTTAATTATGTTTTTTGTTTTAATGCTAGAGATGCTATGTATGATTTCCCAGACTTTTGAAAACGAAAACGACATTCAGGTTTAATATTGCAAGTGTTCTAGGATAAGATGAGATCCATTTTCTTCCCTCCGGATGATAAACCATCAATGAAGCATCCATTCAATGATACCGATAGAGCTAGCGAAAAGCAAAATAGTATGATAGAGCTCTAAACAAAACTTGGAATAGTATAAAAATGTTGAAAGCTTATTATTCAAACATCCCGAGGACGGACATTAGCATTCTAATGTTTTATACGGCTAGTAGTACATGAATCTAAGATTTACAATTGAGTAAACAAAGCACAATACATGGATGTTAATTGATAGAGCTACCACACGCAGAAATTTCCTAATGTTCACAACTAGAATCTGGATTCATTCTCATTCTCTTGGATAAAGGCAAGATGAATCACAGTCCATCATTCTCTTGGATAAAGGTCTGGAATCATAAAATTTTTGGAATAATCAAGGTTAAGGAGCAATCAGTAGAACCATTGAAGCAACCAAACAGTTCAATACAACAACCAAAACTTAACAGAGAAAGCATAAAGAAACAAGCACATTATTAAAATTGAAAATGTTAGATCAGGCATAACCGAACCACTGTTCCTGGTAGGAATTTGGCCCAGAGTTTCATCCATTGAAATTAAAAGTTTAGCAAGACTCTGCAGATTTGAAACTTTAAGCAACTCGGACCAAGAAAAACATATGCTAGCGGGAAGAAGAAGATATCGCAGTTTAGCAAGGTAAAATAAAAGAAAGGGAGTGGAGAAGAAATCTTACCAGGAGAATCTCATTGGGAAACGATGAATTTTTCGCAGCACGGGGGAGAAGAAGATTACCAGTCACAGAGGCAAGCTCACGGGAAAAGAAGGGTGTTTTAGCCCTTAGCACGGGAAAGGAAAAATACCTAACACACATGTGGGAATAATATTCCCAGGAATAAAACACCAAAATTACTGTTGGTATTAAAATATTACATTCACTTGGGAATCTTACTTGATCCAAACATGGGTATCCTTCATCGGAAAAAAAATATGTCTGTTGGGAATGCTAAATTCCTTGATCCAAACGGGATGTAAGGGTTTTTGGTTCCAAGTCCCAACCGACGATCTAGTCGTTCAAGTTGGTTTATTCTTTACAAGATAAATTACAAGTATTATCACTCAATTTATCCTCACTTCTATTTGGTCATAAGTTTAAAAAAGTCAATTTGATCACTTAATTTTCAATTGTTCATTTTGGACATTCCACCATTAAATCATAAAATATGTGATGATATGATTACTTTTATTCAAAAAAATAAATAATACTTATTTGATAATACTTATATCGTATAGGAATTAAAGTACTATCCTTCATCAATGTCACTCTTATCATTTCCTTATCGATGTCACCCTCATCTCACGATTATTCTCATACAAGTGGTAATATTTTTTTCGGAGTATCCTTTTGCGGTCTGATAATAATATATAATTATACATATGATGTTCTTTGTTTGAATAAATTGACACACGTGATGAATACTATGTTACTCTAATTTGAATTGTTTAAAAAATATATCAAACAGTATCACTGAAATTACTCATTAAATTTTACATTATAACAACTTTTAAAAAGCAAACATCTACACTAATAAATCAAAACATATTAACCCTACAGTAATAGATTTAACAACATTTACCCTCGCTTTACTCCATTATCATTATGGTCCCTAATGAAAAAGAAGGTTGAGGCTTAACAACCTCAAAAAAAAGAGCCAAAATTGAGAAATAAAGCATAAAAAAAGAAGAATTAGAAAGTAAGGTCCCCTGAGCAAGATTAGGGGTTCGAATCCTGACGTTTGTGAATGGAGCAAACTGGATTGGGAGGGTCATCCTCGCCTATACAGTACCCGAACTGGATTAGTCGGTCAATAGATCGGATGCCATTGATTAATTAAAAAAAACACACACACAAAGAATGGGCCTTCCGTAGAAGCGAACCAAACAACAAAGATTAAGTTCAATTCAATAAAAATATGTAAAATTAAATAGAATTCAAAAGATAATTTTTTTAAATAAAGTGGTATAAATACTCAATTTAATAAAAATATGTAAAATTAAATAGAATTCAAGAGAGATGTTTTTTTAATAAAGTGGTATAAATACTCAATTTAATAAAAATATGTAAAATTAAATAGAATTCAAGAGAGAGTTTTTTAATAAAGTGCTATAAATACTCAATTTAATAAAATATGTAAAATTTAAAATAATATAAAAACCTTTAAACATATTTGATAAAAAATCGTATGCATATCTCAAAATGAAAAATGTAAAGCACATAAGTTTAGTAGACCCTTTAGTTCTACGGGTAAACTACATATTTAATACCTGAATTATTACTTTTATTTTGTTCTAAACTTTGTTTTGTTTTAAATCATACCTAATATTTAGTTTAGGTTTCATTTTTATACCCGTCATTAAAATTTTAACAGTGATGTTGATGTATCACCATAAGTTAATGTCACATCATTATTGAAAAAATATAAAAAATATCACATTAATAGTTCTGTTAATTTTTTAACAACATGATACTAAATTGTAACGTAAACTAAATGATAAGTGTGGTTTCGGGGGAAAAAAGTTTGGATACCAAAATGGAATAAAAATAACAATTTATATACTAAACATGTATTTTACCCTAGTTGTTGTACTAATGGGGCATTTGAATGTTATGTCCTCTTTCTTAACTTTAACTGCAATTTGCAGTACTTTTTCATATTGATTCTAAAGTCTCACATCTCCATCATTATTTCCCACCTTTATATATATATATATATATATTATATACAAAATATAAATGTTAAAAGGGAATCCAAATAATATAAAGGGTAAATTGCACGTTTAGTACCCTAATTATTACTTTTGTTCCGTTTTGCTCACCAAATTATTTTTTATTTTAAAATCATACATAATTTTATGTTTTGATTTCATTTTGTCACTCACCATTGAAAAATTAGCAGTGATATTGATGCGTTACCATAAGATAATGTCATGTCATCATTGATTCTTTTATTTCTTCAAAATATCATATCAACAATGTCGAGTGATTAAAATAAAACCAAAACGTAATATTATGTATGATATAAAAAAAATAATAATTAAGTGACTGAAACTAAACAAAAATGATATGTATAGTGCTAAATGTGTAGTTTACCTTAATATAAATTGGGAGTGCCCAAAGAGGGCAGCTGAATGGTCAACTGACCTGAATGCAAGGTTATACATTTAAGCAGGGGTAGGTTCATCTTTAGTGAGAAATAAAGATGTTGATAGGCTCAAGTTTGTACATCACCCCGGTGGAGATTTTCTTATCCTAAATTTGATTTTATTAAAATCTCAGTACTGCTTTTATAAAATTTATTTGATCTGTTTATATTATAATCATGTAAGTCCATCGTTAAAATTCAAAAAACATCGAATGTATCATGGTACAATAACATTTTAATCTAAAAATTTATATATCATATCGATTTTATCTTAATTTAAAATAATTCAATAATTTTAATCCTTTATATTTAAAAATTCTATTAATTTAGTGTTTTTTATGATATTATCAAATCAAGTGAGCTCGTTAAACTAAACGACAGTTGAATAACTGCAACTGTAAAACACAACAACAAATTATTATTAAATTGTTATTACGTTAAAGAAGTGGCAAGAAATTAATATTATTTCTAGAGAAGAACAAACAATTTAAGAGAAGGACAAAAACTAAAATGATGAAATTTTTAAATATGAAAGGTTAAATTGTTTAAATTATTTAACTTAGGATCAAATTAATATTCAAAATTATTTGTTAAATTAAATTATTTAAAAATCCTAATATTTCATATTAGAAACAAGGGTATAAATGAACATAACGTTCAATGAATTGTTCGTATAACGTTCGTTTATGTTTGTTTGTTAAGCTAAATAAAAGAATATGAACAAAATTTTAATGTTTATTTAATAAATGAACGGATACGAACAAATATGTGTTTGGTTCATTTATATTCACAAACAACACATTTATGGACTCGTTTATTTATGTTCTTGAACAAACCCGTCAAATTATTGATTTACTATTTTTTTACATTTTAAATATTGGTGAATGGTGAACTAAATTGAATACATGGTAAATTTTAGTATTTAAACTAAAAGGCTTAATGAGTTTAAGCAATAATGACATAATTTACTATTTTTAGCTTTCAAATGAAAACGTTAAATAATTATGTTCGTAAACATATAAACGAATGTTAAATGAATATATTTACGAATATATTTACGGACATTAAACAAACATAATCATAACATTAAGCGAATAAACACTAACATAATATTAAAAATCTAAACAAATACAAGCAAAATATAACTACCTTTAAAAATAATCAAATGGATACCCGAACGCAACCTTATCACTGTCCCTACAACTCCATTCAATCAAGAATGGGCCTGCAGCAATCTTACAATTCACCTACAAATACCACAGCCTTAAAAACCCTAGACCTCTCGGACTAAATTCACAAACAAAGCAGAGCCACAGAGCAGTTCCTCTTGTCAATAGCCGGTCAGATTTAGCTCTCAATATATTCGTATCGAATCCATTATCATCACATGATTTTCTCCCATTTGATTTATCTTGAGTTTCAGTAGAAGAAGTTCATAATCTGATCTCTCTTTGATTTGATTTAAATTTCAGGGACAAACAAATGGCTGTTACTTTCAGCGACCTTGGTTCTGCTGGCTTGAAGAAGCTCGATGATTATCTCCTCTCTCGCAGTTACATCTCTGGGTAATTTTTAAAAAATAATCTGTAATTAAATGTTTTACAGTTGCTAGGTTTTATCTTGTTTGGTTCAGGATTTTTGTTTACTTTTTGTTTCTGCAGGTACCAAGCTTCAAAGGATGATATTACCGTCTACGCAGCTCTCTCAGGGGCCCCATCGTCTAGCTATGTGAACGTTTCTCGATGGTTTAACCACATCGACGCACTTTTGAGGATCTCGTAAGTTTTTGACCTACTTTTATGTTGGATTTTGATGTTTACTGGAGATATACTGTTATTTATTACTTTCACGTTTAACTAATAGTTTATTGGTGCGGGATCTGGATGTTTAATAGAAACTTAATGTTATTTGTTAATTTAGGTGTGTTTCTGGAGAGGGGTCTGGTGTGACTGTTGAGGGGTTTGCTCCTGCTGAGGCTGTTGCTACTCCTCCGGCTGCAGATTCGAAGGCGAGTTAATTTTGCGTGCTTTTATGTTTAAATTTAATAAATCAAGTGATTTGATTGTCTGTTGATCATCCAATTGCTTGAACATATTATGCGTGTGCAGGCTGCAGCTGCTGAGGAAGACGACGACGACGATGATGTTGATTTGTTTGGAGAAGAGACTGAGGAGGAGAAGAAGGCGGCGGAAGAGCGTGCTGCTGCTGTTAAGGCATCTGGCAAGAAGAAAGAATGTGAGGCCGTCAGCTTGCCTTTATTGTGATTATCGATTGATACTTGGTAATTGTTAGTTCTATGTAATGGTTATAACATAGAATTTCATTTTGTTCTCAGCCGGCAAGTCCTCGGTATTGTTGGATATTAAACCGTGGGATGATGAGACTGACATGAAGAAACTTGAAGAAGCAGTAAGAGGTGTTCAGATGGAAGGGTTACTTTGGGGAGCATGTAAGTATTTGGCAGGTTTGGTTTTGTCGTATATGGTTTGTCCTTAATTTGCAAACTGAATCGTGGTTACAAGTGTATATGAACTAACAAGCGAGTTGTTATCACGTGCAGCTAAGCTTGTGCCTGTTGGCTATGGTATTAAGAAATTGCAAATTATGTTGACCATCGTGGATGATTTGGTGTCGGTTGACACTCTCATCGAGGAACAACTGACGGTTGAGCCGATTAACGAGTATGTTCAGAGTTGTGACATTGTCGCATTCAACAAGATATGTAAGTATACCAGATTCTGGAAGTGTTCTTCACTCTGTTTCATGCAATACTTTTTGTGCCCTTGCGAAAGATGGGAGTACCCCATGTTTTGCATGCGAAAACTTGCTAAAAAGTCGATTTTCTTATGTGTTTTCCTTTTCATTTTGCAGAATGGGTATTTACGAATGCTTGCAATGTGTTTCCTGGAGGGCCCTTCAAAGTCATGCCCTTTATGTTATTGATTTTGCTTGAACTTAATTTAAGTTTTGTTAGTTTTATGTTGGACAATGGATCCATTGTGATTGGTATGGAAGTGTCGGTTGATGAGTTCTGCTTGAGCCCAAGTTTATTCCATGTCTGATCTAATTTGGATAAAAAAAAAAAATGAATTGAACGAGGAGTTTAGACCGAAAATTAAAACCCTAAACCCTATTAAGGGAAAAAAGTCTTGAATTTATGTTGTGTTATATTTTCAATTTCTTCTCTTCAAATAGTGTTTTGAATTACGAAAGAGTAAATGCCAGATTAGTTTTAATTGATTTTGTTGATCCAGTCGGTCGTGATCTCATTAAAATGTTTAAGCTGGTTAGTTACTCTAATCTAATTTATATATATTTTTATTCTTATTTTAAATACTTATTATGATATAATTATAAGGTTAAATTATGTAATTAGATTTTACTCTCTTTTCTCTTATTTAATTTATCGTATTTTTTTACTCTAATCTCATTAAAATGTTTAAGCTGGTTAGTACCCTAATCTAATTTTTATATATTTTTTATTTAAATACTTATTATGATATAATTATAGGTTAAATTATGTAATTAGATTTTACTCTCTTATTTAATTTATCTTATTTTTAATTTTTTTAAATTTTTTCATTGATTTTTATAGATTGAATTTATAAATTGAATTTTCTAAGTCATTCAGCTGTTTTTTTCTTAACTCTGTTATGACATGGTATTTTTTTTTTTTTTATTTTTTAAAATATATTTATTATTTTTTTTTTATTGTCACTCAAATTCATTTTCTCCACCGTCTAAGCTTAAAGTCTCTCCACCATTTCTCTTCTTCTTTTAATCTCTCTCCCCCCCCCCACCGTCGGCCCCAGTCATAACAGCATCGATCATCGAAGCTTTATGAGTTTCGACCTTTCTACTGCGTGGTTGAATGAGACAACGAAGTAGTCGGTGTAGCAATAGGAGACGTGGTTGGAGAAATCTTGGGAGCTAGAGTCGAAGAAGATCATAGTTACCTGGACCTGGTTGGGTTGGAATTTGAGTTTGGCCAAGAGAACAACTTACGATGACAGCTAAGAGAACAAAGCAAGCGACGGTTTTCTCCATTGTGAATTTCAAAAAAGAAAGAAAACACAACTTACGATGACAGCTAAGAGAACAAAGCAAGCGACGGTTTTCTCCATTGTAGAATTTCAAAAAAGAAAGAAAACACAGAGCTTGAGAACGTGGAAAATGGACAACTGATATGGGAATGTTTCACTTATATTATATTTGTATGGAAATTTAAAATCTATATTCTAAGGTGAAATGGGTTTAAATCAGAAATATGTAATGCAAGAGGCCTAAAAATAAAAGAGCAAAAACGAGAATTCATTTATTCAAGCTCCATAAATAAACTTTTTTCTCATTTAATAGCCAAAGAGCAGATTGGCTTGGTGGCTTGAAGGATTATTCTTCATTTATGCGAGCCTAGGTTCAAGTCTCATCCCACAACAAGACTGCAAATGGCGTGATGATCAGGATTTGGAGAGAGATGTGGGAGGAAGTGGAAGAAAAAGAAACAAGGAAAGGAAGGGTGTATATGAAAAAAAAAAATAATTTTTTTATTTAGACTAAAACGGCGTCTTTTTATCTAAATTTGATTTTTTAAAAGATTCAAAACTATGTCGTTTTAGTAAGAGCTGTCATTCATAACACCATTAATTATTTAATGGTGAAGTGACTAAAAAATTCAATAATTAAAATTACAGTGAGTGAAATAGGAGAGAAGTAAAATTCAATTACCAAACGTGTAATTTACCCTAAATATAATATATATATTATAACTATAACTAAAACAATATTTATATCATGTATTATTAATAAGTTAATTGAATCAATGAAGGTTAAATTGATGTTATATTATTTCGAGTTGATCAATCAATCTGATTAAATTTGATTAAATATTTGTTTTTACTTTAACTAATTAACTGGTTTAGTAAGATGAGACATAAATTCGTTTAAGGCTAGAGATGACAATTATAGATGACAATTATAAGTGGATGATAATTATAGATGACAATTATAAATGAAGACTTTTAAATTGGAATGATCGTGTTATAATGTTTTTTATACTAAATAATTAGAAAATTAAATATGATAATTGAATTACAAAATTATTTTTTAAAGTCATCCACTCAAAGTTAAATAATGATGTATTTTGAGAATTATATTTATCTCATTTTTAATGTTTAGTACTTATTTATATATTTTTAATATATTTGTACATATTAGTGATGAGTATGGATCAAGCTAGGTTGAATTTTCGGTCTACTCAACTCTATTCCAAAAATATAAATTATTGTTCGAAATCTTTTTGACCGAATTTTGGATGATTTTATTTGACCTAAATACTCGATCTATCTTTTGAGATAAAACTCAAACTCGATACGACACAATAATATTTAAAATATAATTTTGTTTGATAAAATATGAATCTAATTGAAAAATAATAAAACAGTGTATCATTTCAATTATCCATAAATATATGGTGTATAATATATTAATTTTCAAAACCCTAAACTCTTCTCTAAAAAACTCGACTTAATCTGATCTGAATCTATTTCTAAAAAAAACATGATCCAATAAAATTGGTTTCGAATCCAGTGCTCTAGTATATATTCATATAATTGTTTATTTTTTTTCATATAGTATTTAATAATAGTTTAGAAATGACCATCCAGCTCAGTTGGTAGAGCATAAGGTTCTTAACCTTGAGGTCGTGGGATCGAGTCCCACGGAGGGCATTTCATAATTCAGAGGTCTCTTACGGAAGCTGCTCTCAACCTGGTGTTGGGGGTAGCCTACTATCTTACCTCCCTTACCCCATATATATGGAAAAAGGGACCATTTTTTATTTAATAATAGTTTAGTTGAGTTAGGGGTTGTTTGTTTACTTCAGAATGATTAAGCGCTGAATGATTCAGAGGCTCTGAATTAGCTTTGAATGTGACAAGTTGTTTGATAATGGCTCTGAATCATTCAGAATGTACTTCTGTGTTGAATCATTAAGAATGTACTTCTGTGCTGAATCATTCAGCATTGTTTTGCTGAATCAGTCAGCACTGAATCATTCAGAGGTGAGAAACAAACGCGCTGAATGCTAAACGGTTCAACATTCAGCGCTGAATGATTCCATATAGAGCTAAACAAACAATCCCTTAGTGTTTTATATTAATTAAATACCGATTTAGTTTAAAAAATAAAAAATATTGTGAAATGATAAAAAATATTATATATAAAAGAATATTTTTGTTTTTTATAATTTATATATATTAAATAAAATAATTGAAATCATTTTTTATTTTCATTGAATAATATAATATAATAACAAAGTAATATCTGTTTATAATTTTATTAAATATTAATAATACTGTTTATAATCTTTATTAAATATTAATAATACATATAACTTACAGACACAATTGTTCGAAACTAAGATTTTAAATGATAATGTTTTTTTTAATCACTCAAGCTCTAAATATATTCTTAAAAATGATTTTTTTAAATGTATTGAATGGACGATTAATAAAACTTATATTAATATGATACAATATAATAGGCAAAAATGCCCAAATAATGCTGTTGTGAATGTTTAATTCCCAAAATAAGAATGTCAGCCGATTATTTCCTCAAATGGGGTGAATGCTACAGGGTTACATGCATTGCTTTGGATCTCTCGGCGTCTTTAGGGGTGTTGGATTCGTTCAAGGATCTCTCGGCGTCTTCAACTTTGCTGTGAAACTGAAACTGCCCCTGCTGCATTTGCGAGCTGCGACAGTGCTGCTGCTGTTGCATGTGGGAGCTCTGCATGTTGGTCTGGACGTGGGAAATCACGGAGAGAAAGTTGTTGTTGCATGTGCAACATTCTTTGCGGACTCAACTCCCCATGGCTTTGGATTCTTCAACAGCTGAGACAAAATCAATGGAACTGCCAAAACAACAGCTCCACCAGCCACAACCGTGGGACCATGCAAGCTTCTAGGTGGTTGGGTCTTGATAAAAGTGGTTTTAACGGTGAAGCAATGGAGAGCAATGGTGGTTGTCTGGTTTCTGTTCTTCTGTCAGAGAGAATGGAGAGGGGTGTCGAGCTTGGAGTTGCTCCAATGAGGGTCCTCATTGCATAATTTGTAGAATTGGTCGGTCGGATGACAAAGGCTTAGCTTTGGGAGGAGGTATTTGGTTACTGCAGTTTGAATGCTAAAATGAGATATGATATTTGTTGCATGTGCCAGGGGTGAGCAGTTGTTGTTGCCGAGCATTGCCTGCATGGAAGACTGCATAGCATTCCGTATTCCCATGGTTAAAGACGCCGAGCATTCCCTGCATGGAAGAAGTCGAGATATCCACTTTCATGGAAAATTTTGTGTTGAAGACGCCGAGAGATTCTTGAACGAATCCAATACTCCTGAAGATGCCGAGAGATCCAAAATAATACATCCAACCCTATAGCATTCACCCATTTGAAGAAATAACCGATTGACATCCTTATTTTGAGAATTAAACATTTCCTATAGCATTATTTGGGGATTTTTGCCCAATATGATATAATATACTATTTAAAATTCTGTTTCATTTGGGATTAAAAATTCAAATTAATAGAGGCATTCTATTTAATGACCGCCAATAATAAATTGCCACGTGTAATCTTAAAGACGAACAAAACAGTAGAAGCGAGAGTCAGACAGCTGATTTGAGTTTGGCTCCGTTCTGCTTAAAAGGAGAGCAAAAATAAAAAGGCGCTCCTCTAACCGATATGTGAAGAGAAACAGCAGAGCAAAGAAGCTAAAGAGTGAATCAAATAACAGGACAGGAACTACTCAGCTCTCTTGGACATTGTAAGAAAAACTTTCTTTTTTTCTCTGTTAATAATCGTATTCAATCAGGGCTTTGTTTAGTTTTTGAATGTTTTTTATCAGCTTTCGTTGGGTTAGAATCAGAGAAAGTTATCCATGTTTGATTTCTGGTGACCATTTTGAGAATTAGAATTAGGGTTAGCTTTTTGTTTTTACAAAGATTGAGCTGATTTGGGTGT